ACAGCATTACTCATTCCATATTAGTTAACAATATGAATATATCAGACAAGCTACTTTGGATATTCTCAGAAAGAGTAGCAGCATCTACATTTCTGAAATAAAGAGATGCAGCAAACTTCACATACTGTGTTTCAACTTTTAGATGTTAAATGTCCTAGTTCCAGAATAATGTACTAGTCATGCTATCTTACACTTAATTTCTGTTGAGAATGAGAGAAGCAGTTGTTCTTGGGATGCATTCCCAGGCCACGCAGAGGAGGAGGAGGGAGCCTGGGAAACTGAGGCTGCAGTCACTGAGGTGATAGAAGCAGAGGAACCTATCTCAAGGCCACTCTTTCCAGATTCAGATAGAACTTGAGAAGAGCCAGGATTAACAGCTGTCAGGAGTACATGTGGGACAGCATCTTCAGCAGCCAGACAAGACTGGTACGACCCTTGACCTCATTATGTGGCATTCGGGAAGAAGAGCTAACCAACTAAAGGGTCAGTACATAGAGAAGAGACTAGCCTGCCTCCAAGGCGACCATCTCAGAGGCATGGGACTCAGACGTACTCAAAAGGAGGGTTCTTGGAACCCTCTAGTTGCTAGATTGGATTCAATGAACCACTCTGTGCATGCTCAGAGATTCAATCTTTGTTGGATGTGCTTACTGGAACTGCATTGGAAAATAAACTGCTTTTTTTTTTTCCAAAGAATTGTCTGTTGTTTTGGAAGTGCAAAGTGGGAAACCTTGCTTGCAACAGCTTTTAATCTAATTTCAACTCTTTAGCATGAATGAAAATAGCTTAATCATTTTGGAGTAAACTTGTTCCCTATTCTGAAGGAAAAAAGGACCAATATCCTAATTTCAACTTCTGAACAACTTTGACTACAAATTTCCAAGCTCTCATACAACAAAAATTACACTAATAATGTCAATGCACTTGTGAATAAGTGAAGCTCAAGCATTTATGTATTTCATATCTATAGCTATATTAGAGCAACCAAGAATAAATTGGAAAAGAATACCTATTAGATCCATCTATAGAAAACAGTTTTAAAACACAATGATACCTAAGATCTTGACTCGAAGTTTCACAACTTCGAGAGCTGTCCCCTGAGCCCATTCGTCGTCTTTTAGATGGTTGGCTTCCATCATTTGAATTATCTTCTATATCATCCTGAGATGAAAGCAAAATATCAAAGGCTAAATGCAAAAATATTGCAAACCTGAATTTAAATTCTTGCTTTGCAAATTACCTGTATGCAGACATGCTGCATTCATGCTCCTTTCTCCATACTTTATAAAAGAAACCCAAAGAGTCATTTGGAAAAGCAATACTTTTAGGGATACCAACAAATCAGAATGCAGTCTACTACTGGATCTCTGATAATGTCACGAAGAATGGTGGGCTAGGGAGCACTACTTAAACCACACAGGTACTAAAGTCTGACATCTGATGTCACACACTTCTGGAATTGTGCAATACTCACTTAGGACAGTAGAAGAACTTGTGCTGGCCCAGAAAGGATTTTAAACTGCTCTGGAATGTTTGAATGAAATTGAATTCCTAAATACACTTAAGCTTGAATTTTTTAATTAATTAGATATTAATATTAATTAGAGAATTAAGAACATTAATTAGAAAGAAGTCACAAAGTTTCAGGATCAGCAATGGCTGATAGCTGAAACAAGTTCTTTTCCTGCTACTGGCATACTCCTACTTCACCTAATCCCACAGCAAAGGGAGACACATTTTTGACCACTACCTGATAGGGGAGAAAAAATCTGCTGCCAAAAGCCACACTTACAAGGGCTGCTAAGAGCATCCAAACTTGATGTTGGCCCTGCTTGCACTCATGGGCCTGTGGTATCACTGGGAAATGTATATTGAGGAATCAAAGAGGAGAAACCAAGAAGTAGCTCCCAAGAGGAAACAGTACCTCTTCCTCAGCTTCAACTATCTTTCCTCCCTGGGCTTGTGGTTCAGTACTGATGAAGAGAAAGCCAAGCTGATATTCAGAAACTCTTCTCAGTCTGCCGAAGCTCACACAACTTCCCCAAAAGATCTGCTTGAACCAAGATACCTCAGGTCTTATTGATGGGCAGGAACACCTTGCCTGAACTTATGGGCTCGTCACTTCTTCTCTGGATTAGAGCACCAGGTTAATACATTTCTTTCCCATCTTCCTTCCAGCATGCTGCACAGGTGGGTGTATACAGGGAAGACTCCAGTGACAGTCCCATATAGGCACAGTTCATATGTAGACCTGCTTAGCAACTCCAAGGCTGCTTTATCATCATATGCCTTCAGTCCATACTCTCCGGATGGTCCGATGCAGTGCACGTGAGGACATCCAGCACCAGCCCTTTGAAGCCATGCTTCCCAACTGTATGCCTTCCAGATGTGTTGCACTACAACTCCATCTTCTCCAGCCATTATGCGAGGCACAGCCCCATGGCTGAAGGATTACAGGAGATCTAGTACTACACATCCGAAGGCAACCCGGTTGGGAAAGGATGTTTTAGATTATGACCATCACAACCCCGCACCACCTTTACCCCTCGCCAGCAAAACGCGCACCAGTACGCGCAAAAAGCAAAACTCGCTTGCACGCCCTCGAGAGGGGCAAAGAGCGTCTCCCCACTCCTGCGGCCGGGGCGGAGCCGAGGAAGCGCTCCACCTCGGGGCGGCGAAGGCAGAGGCGGAGCCCCCTCATCGAGCGACCGTTCCCTTGCGGGGAAGCAGGAGGAGCGTGCTAACGCCAGTGGAAGAGCCGGTCTGGCCGGTGAGCGAGGCTGTTGGCTGCCACCATTTTCATCCCCTCACAATGCCTCTGGAGCCCCGACGGGGCGTCACTGCTTCGCTGCCCCACGAAATCACGGGCAGTGCTTGCCGTCTTGTACTCTATTTTGGCTGCGGCCAGGGCAGGGGAAGGGGCACGGAGACGGGGCGATAGACACCCCGAAGGCTCGCGCTATCGGGGGGATACTTGTCGATAGTGACGCAGGGCCTGCGAAGAAAATCCGCTTCCCCTTGCCAAGCCCGCGGGTCTCCTCACCTTCAAAGACTGGGCTCCAGGCGTGGCCGGGTCGCTGTCACAGACCCGCGGGGACAAAACGGCCGCCATCACCGCCGCAGCCGCTACCGGCCACGGAGAGACAGGCCTAGAGAGGGCACTTCTCTCCCCCCCGCTCCGTCTCCTTACCGCGCCGTAGGACGGCGCCATCTACACTCCTGGGGGTGGCAGCGCAGGCGCACTGCTGCCTCCCGTTCTCTTCCTCCGGGATCGTCTGAGTCCGCGTGCGTCTCTCCCTGCGCTCCTTTTGCCCTATGGCCACTCCCAGGGTGTGATAACCCGTCTGCTCGGGTTAGGACCAAGAGCTAGCATCTCTCGAACAAGCCAAAATATATGCATGGATTAAATATACCTCAGTGACTCCTTGTTTGTGAACGCAAATTTTAGAATTTGTTGAGAGGGGAAACCATTTTGTTATATTTGTATGTAAAGAAATGCAGTTAATATTTAAGGAAAAAACAATGGACCAGAAAAACAAAATGCAAGTAATTGATGTGGATAATTGAATGAATAATAAATAAATAAATGAAACCGCTGGGAGAGGTCATCAGGAGGTGTGGGCTGCGGAATCATCAGTACGCTGATGATACCCAGCTCTACCTCTCGTTTTCCACCAATCCAGGTGAGGCAGTGGCTGTGCTGAACCAGTGCCTGGCCGAGGTAATGGGCTGGATGAGGGCCAATAAACTGAAGCTCAATCCAGACAAGACGGAGGTCCTGTTGGTTGGCGGATCGGGCTTCGGAGAGGGTGAATTGAACCTTGTCCTGAACGGGGTTGCACTCCCTCTTAGGGACAAGGTCCGCAGCTTGGGAGTGCTCCTCGACCCGGAGCTTTCACTGGAAGCTCAGGTAACAGCAGCGGCGAGGAGCACTTTCCTCCAGCTTCGGCTGATTCATCAGCTGCGCCCCTACCTGGAGTACGACTGCCTGGTGACAGTGACACACGCGCTGGTGACTTCCTGCCTTGACTTCTGTAACGCGCTCTGCGTGGGGCTACCCTTGAAGACAGTCCGGACACTTCAGTTGGTTCAAAATAGAGCTGCCAGGCTGCTGACGGGGACTGGGCGTTATGGTCACATGACTCCAGTTCTCCGTCAGCTTCACTGGCTTCCCATTGAAGTCCGGGCCCAATTCAAGGTGTTGGTAATGACCTATAAAGCCTAAACGGCTTGGGTCCTGGTTACCTGAAGGAGCGCTTACATCCATATATGCCCAGCCGCCCCTTGAGATCAGCGGGAGAGGCCCTTCTCCGGGAACCCTCCGTGAAAGAAATTAAGAGAGTAAGTACTCGGAGGAGGGCTTTCTCTGCGGTGGCGCCTAAGTTATGGAATGCACTCCCCAGAGAGGTCCGCCTGGCGCCGTCGTTATTTGCTTTTCGGCGCCAGGCGAAGACCTTTTTATTTAAGCGGCATTTTAACTGTTAGTATTATTTGATCTTATCTGGCCAGGGCGGCTTATTTTATATTGTATTTTTGGATTTTTAATGTTTATATTTATTGTAATTTATATTATAATTACTTTTATTGTTGTAAGCCGCCCCGAGGCTTCAGCGAATGGGGCGGCATAAAAATGTTTTAATAAAAAAATAATCCAAACATGCATAAATCTGTTCTTGGAGTATGTGATATTATACATCTGCACACACATGGAGTGCATTTTCCTCCATCTCTTGATAACTACAGGATATCATAGCTGCAGTCATGTATTAGGATTCCCATGAAAGACTGTGGCTTCAGAGAATCTAAAGTTTCATTCTGGGTAGAAATTGCTGACTAAGCAGCTTTTCAGCATGATTTGCCAAATCATTTTTAAAATAGAAAGTTAAATCTATCTGTGTCTTTCTATACTACCCAATAGACAAAGCTTTCTGGACAGTTTGCAACAGTTCCCAACACAGGTCCATAATGCAATAAAAATAACCATAAATTTGTCCTTAACATAATTTAAAAGCAGTTTTATTTTTAAAAAAAGTTTAGCAGTAAAAACAGTATTTCATGCAGAGCAGACATTGAAAGAGTAAACATGAATGTCCCCTCCCTCCGTCCATGCATCCAGAGAATTTATGTAGGTACATATAAACTGGGATGATGGCATGCTGCAAAGTGAAACATAAGCCTCCAGCGGCATCTTTATTTTTAAGCATAAAACCCTGAACCCTCTGCGCGAGCCCCTGCGCAGTTTACATTTAAGTTCACCTGTTTCATCCAGGCCTGCAGCACAGCCTGCCGGACCCCTACGGCCTCCCCCATTCCCCTTATTTGACATCTGTACTTCTGGTACTATGACTTCTTTTTGATGGATCCTCAGTTCTAAGTCCAAGATTTCACACACTGACAAATGACTTGCATATATTTGCATGTGCAGGGGGTACTTATTAGCAAGGCCATACAAAGACCATGCACATTTGAGTAAGTGAGGCAGGACAGGAATACCTCAACACTGAAACACTGTATGGAGTAAGCAGAAGAAAATTAGAACACATGTTTATGCAGAAATAGAATCAATTATTCCTCTCTGAAATAGCGCAGCAAGTAGTGAACAATGCCATTAGTGCACAGTTTGTTGGAAACATTTCCTGCCTTGTAAATGAACATCATTCAAATAGCATGATTGAGAGTGGTGAGAATCTTTATTTGAGCAAACACAGCATACCTTTGCAGAGAACCACAGGAATTACAATGTTTGTTTGTGAAAATTTATTCATAATAACAAGCAACTATCAGAGCCACAACAACATAGTTCTCAGATTCATATTGGCCTTGAACCCAGTTGTCCCTTGCAACATCCCAGACCCATCTGCTGGCTATCTGGAGGAGAGAGAAAAGCAAAGTATGATCAATCAACTCAAGCAAAACCACATAGTATAATCCTGTAATGCATCCAACTCCTGGACATTTTAACAGAATTACCTCAGAATCCCAGGTACCATTGTTTCTGAAAGATAGCTATCATGATTCTGACATGGCTCTATCTGAAAATCACCATTAACGCTGCCTTCCAATCAAGCCCATTTAAACTAATTTTAAATCCTGATCAAGACTCGCATAATGATTTTGGAATAAGTAAGTGATTCTCTTAACTTCCATGTACAATCATTCACTATAAGGAACCTCACATGTACTACAAGAACCAATTCAAATTCCTGACTCTTAGTGTACATTCTGCAAATAGCTATGGGGGCAGGAAAAGTGCATATAACATAACATGTTCCCTTTCGAGTACCTTATTTGGCAACATTTTGGACTTTTTACTTTTAAAAGGGGGCAGGAAAGCACACACAGTAGAGGTTTCTAGCATAATTAACAGTATAAAAAGAGTGAACATGGAGAAATTGTCCTTGCTTCATTTTGGAACTAGAGATACTAATTTATGTGATTAATTTAAGGTCAATACCACATGACATGGCAGGAAATCAAACAAAAACTAAATGAAAAACAGAATGAACCCCTAAGAGCAGACCAGAACCTGTTGAACCTAAACCAGAACAGAACCAGTGGAAAGGGATTCAGGTTGCTATTTCAGAATTAGGGTTCAACCAAAGAACAAAACATTTGATGTGGTACACTCACTGGTTCCACCAGAACCATAATGATCTCATGCAACCAATACTTGGGAGGAATCCTCTATTTTGGATTTCTACAGATTTCTTCCGCTCCACTGTAAGAGTTACATCTGAAAAACATTAGGCAGGGACTGGCTGGGTCATGCCCCTTTTTAAGGATTCTTGGGGGATAGAGTTTGGACCTTGCTGGGCTGAACAGCCATTCTAAAAAGAGTACCATTTTTTTCTTTTCTTTTTAGATATTGAGTTGATGAGGGGGATTGTCAGGGCCTTGAATAGAGACTGAAGGAGCCTTCAGCCCAGGCAAAGGTGAGCACAGTGATGGGAGTAAGGGAAGGTTCATTGAAAAGTGTGTTCTACACCTGTGCTGGCTCTGGGGCCACCTGCTTCCAGGGGCTTCAAAAGGTCTTGAATACCTAGTGCCAAGAAAATTATATAATCCAAGTTTTACACTTATAATTTATTATTATTTATTCACTACATGTATAAACCACCCCTTAGCCAGAAAGGCTCTCTGGACAGTTTATAAAGATAAAACATATAAGCAAAACTAAAAATTACAGTATCATAATAAAAGCAGTAACAGCAATGAGTAACAGTAGAACAACCCCAAGACTGCTGGTCAAAATGGTACACAGATATACCAGCAGTATCTAATAAAGTCTATTAAAACTAACACTTTATTAAAATGCCTGGAAAATAAAAATGTTTTCACCTGGCACCAAAAGGAAAAAAACAGTAGGCACCAGGCAAACCTCTCTGAGGAGCTTATTCCAAAGATGGGATGCCACAACCAAGAAGGCTTTTCTTAGTTGGCAGCGCCACATAGAGTGTATGACAGTAATCCAAATGAGAGGTTGGCAGTGCATGGATCACTGTGGCTAAACCCTGTCTGTCCAGATAGGGTCATAGTTGGTAAATCAGCCTGAGGCGATAGGTGTTCTGTGTCACTGAGACTTGAGTGACAATTCCAGATCAAGGCGCACCCCCAAACTACAAACCCTGTCCATTAAGGGGAGTGCAACTCTGTCTAGGACATGCTGAATATCTCCCAACTGGACAGACAATCCACCCATCAACACCACCTCTGTCTTGTCTGGATTGAGTCTCAGGGTACTGACCCTCATCCAGGCCATTACCCAAGCCCGGACATTGATTCAGGATGGCCACTGCCTCACCTGGTTTGATGAAAAAAAGAGGAAGAACTGAGTGTCAGCTGCATATTAATGGCATCTAAACCTATACCTCTAGTTGACCTTTTCCCAGTGGTTTCATTTAAATGTTAAATAGGGGGATAAAATGGAGCCCTTTGGAACTTCATGGCAAAGACGGCAATTCCCCAGCACCACATTCTGGAATTGGTTGATCAGGTAGGAGCAGAACCACCGCAATGCTGTACCTCCTACCCCTAACACAACCAGCCTATCCAAAAGATACCGTGGTTGATATCGAACGCCACTGAAAGGTTCAGGAGAAACAATAGGATTAGCTTGCTACAGATACTGAAGTACAGAACTGGTTGGTTATATGTGCTGAACTAGTCACTGAACACTAAGCCTATATGGAACAACAAAATCAATAGTTTGACTCACAGTAGGGATGGCTACCACCTACATACCTACTTGTGAGCTGCTGTTGGAAATACTCAAACTGCATGGACCTTGGTCTACTTTGGCAAAGTAATTTCTTATGCTACACTAGATGGAGCAAACTTCTTCCTGTTGAGGGCTTCTGATCAGTGGTAGACAAGGTCAAAGCTAGAAGCCAGGAGGGCCAGAATCTAAAGTGGGTGGATCACGTTTTTGTCTATCTGCCATTTCCTTTTCTCTATGCCTCCCTCTTACTATGTGATTTGCAGACTTCCAGGGAAGAAATGGATCCTTATTGACAGAGATCTGAACTGGTAGCATGCAAAGGACTTGTGAAATTATGCTGATAGCTACATGTTCCCATTGAGCTACAGGTTTATCACCCCTGTTCTCATAGTTTTGTGAGTTCCATCTGAGCTCTCTTCTAAACAATTACAGTAAAGAAAGATGGGTTCGTCACAGTACAGTCCTATACCCACCTACCTCAAGTCATTCTGTTAAGTCACAAAGTTGTGCCCCACCCATCACAACTCTCTCCGGGCTCTCCTGTCCTCTACCATCCCCCAGAGTCCACCCAAGTCCACATCCACTGCCCCAGCAACCACATCTAGCCACCTCAACTTCTGCTATCCTCTCCTCCTTTTGACATCAATGGTTCCCAGCATCAGGGTCTTCTCCAGTGAGTCACTCCTTCTCATTAAGTGGCCAAAGTATTTGAGTTTCATCTTCAGTGCCTGACCTTCTACAGAACAGTCAGGGTTGATTTCCTTTAAAACTGACTGATCTGATTTCTTTGTAAGTCATTACTTCTGAGCAAACCTGCATATGATTGGGCTGAAAGTCACCTTTTGAGAACAGACTAAACCAGATTGCTTACTCACATGTATTGACTGACCAGTCTTTTCTGCAAGAAATACTTGAACTATGTACTTGTAACGATCAAAATTCAGTTCCTTCACAGCTGCTAATAAATCTTCTGTGAGGGATGTACATATGAGACAGCCATTACTAGTACTGTATTTGAAATCTTGAAGTTTATTCTATTAAGAAGTAAACAGAGTTGGCAATATTCATATACTATATAGCTTTGTGGAAGTTGCATTATTCTAATTATTAAAAGGTTTTATGATAGTACATTTAATAATGTATTTTCAATTATGCAATCTTCATGACTGAACAAGACTATTTCCCCTACCCCACTGAATTACAATCACCCAGTTTGGGTCATCTCAATTTTGCAAACTGAATATTAAGTTTGGTTTAGTTCTACCAGCTGCAGTAGAAATACTTCAAGCAATTTTTTTGGATAGAAACTACAGATTATCAAACACTAACTTTCATTTTTTAAAAACAAAGTCTAGTGCAATGCGAATACTTAGCAAATAAGATATTGTGTGATATTAAGATACATCTGCACTACAAACATACGTTAGTTTAATACCACTTTAAAGTTGGATACAGTGATTCTTCCAAAGTGGAGATTTGAGGATTTTCAGAGACCTCTATTTCTGCCATACAAAACTATAATTCACAATATTCCCTGACAAGAAATGACCTTTAAAATAAGGGTCTTTATTCCCTGACCTTTAAATGACCTTTAAAACAAGTAGGAACTCCCACAAAATAGTTCAACATTGAGTTCCTCTTCACTGTTCAATTTAGTCAGCAATGCATTCTTCCCTAATACTTCATTCTAATCCTCATTAGACAGTATCTGCCCATCTACCTACCCCAATCTATATACCAAAGGTTTTGATTTGTTTTAACCCTGAGGACTTTTACCCCATATATTTGCAAACCTTGAGTTCTCCCAGCTCAAACTGCATGGCTTCCTTAGTTAGTTTTAGAAGGCTACCAAGGAGGCATGCTTTGACCAATATTGAAGGTAGTCCACAGCTGGAGTCCCTGGTTTTATTAAAGGCCTCCCGCCCGTCCTCCTGAAATTTGTAATAATCATAATTTTATCTACATTTACCTAAACATAAGCACCATTGCATACAACAGAACTTATTTTTGAGTAAACATTTACATCACAACTGCAATCATGCAAATTCTCATTTAGTATAAGAGCAATGGATTAAGTCAAGAGTATTTGATTTGTCCCTTGACAACACTGTTTATATGTTAATATAATACATTATCATATGAGAATGATCAACAGGCTCCCTTTACTATAAAAAATCAACACTATCAATTTATATGAATAGATCCAATTTCAAGTTACTGTGTAACTGCTAGTGGCTAGTATTTGCTATATGTATGCGAGGTATAGAGTTCAACAACTTCACATGTAGAATTAGATATTAATTCCAGTTAACAACACTACCTTTAAAATCTCTTCCACTCTCTTCCTTACTACGTGAGCCTCACATTTTCTGTAGGGTTCCATTCTGTATGTGTTAGCGTATTTTGGTCTTGCAAAACTAGCCTTGAATGCCAAGAGCTCATTTCTTGTAAAATCTGTGACAGAGTCGTCCTCTGGTTCAAGGCCTGAGATATCATGGCTTGATGCTCGATGTTTACCAAACTGTGAAGACTGGAAACACCACCCAATTTTATGAATCCTTAATCATAGTTGTAAAAAAAGATAACACTTTCAAATAATAATGCAAGATGACTAAATTGTCCATTTTGCAAGCACTGTCACCCCTAAATTATAATCAAAGACTTATCTTTAATTTCTTCATCCATAGTTTGTAATATTGAAGTCAAGAGTATCTTTAGTGGACAAGGTGTGGTCTTCAGAGTTTATATAGCCAGGTTCAAATCCCCAATCTAAGTTGATGTTCTGGGGCTTGCCTTAAACTGATCACTATTTCTCAGTGTAAGATATTTCACAGGATTACTATGAAGATAAAACTGGAGGTGGGGTGAATTTATGAGCTCCTCAGAGGAAGGGTAGAATAAAGATGAAAACAAATTGTACTTTAATCTGAGCTTTTGGAATTTATTGAAAGTTTGACTCAGACTGGATATAATTATTAAGAGGGTTGGAGGGGACACAATCCAGAAGTGTGCACAGGTATGCATCCTGTTAATTTCTTTGGCCAAAGGGTACTTCCGGAAGGTACCTAGTGCTATCTGTTAGAAGGTGCTGTACAGCATTTCTGTCTTTTCTTTCCTTAATGGATTTTCTGTAAGGAAGAAGACAGAAGCAGCAGTGGGAAGACATGGTGGGCTAACATTGCTGTTGAGGTAATCTCAGATTAAACAGCATGAAACCTGCCAAATGCCCTTTTAAATTGTCTCTCATCCATCTTCATCCACCTTGACAAACTCAAGACACTTTAACAGCTGCCAACATGGGACCCTGAAATTATTTTATCTTACTTGGTGCAGTTTACCTGGGTCAGAATTTCTGGTTTAGGCTGTTTCCTTGTTTCGTTGCAGATAGTCACTACTCTTCTCGCCTTATTTTGTTTTTATTAAGATTACCTATATCAACAATTGAACTGGGCTGTTAGCAGCTGCAGAATCTAAAGACATAGGTAAATGTCTTCCACCTCCAGTATAAATGGCTAGATAGCAAACAAATCTGCCCCCCCCCATAAGGGCAAGAGATGGCAATCAAAAGAAATGTTGAGTTGTACATGCCCAAAGACTTACCCTGAAAGTTTGGTCTTGGACAGAGCCACTGCACAATCTTCACAGGTAGTAACAGATAATCAGGAAAGCCATTTTGCTTATGGAATCATAGAACAGTAGAGCTGGAAGGGGCTGGAAGGCCAAGGGGTCCAACCCCCTACTCACTCCAGGCCTCCCAGTCAAACCATCTCTCTCAGATGGCTGTCCAGTTGCATCTTGAATCCCTCTAGTGTGGCTTCATTATCAAGGATGTTTATTATCAAATATTTATGATCAAAATTAGCCAATTCTGTATTAGCAAAATACAATGGAAATGTTTTATTTACTTCACTAAACAATCTGTTCAAGTTATGTTTCGCTCATCTGGGGATATGCACACATATACACAGTAGAGCACAGGTACGGAGTGACGTATTGCCTTCTGCTTCTTCTTCGCTGGGGGAATGCCTAGAAAACCCCTGAAAAGGAACAACCACACAAAGTCTCAGCTCCAGAAGCGCATGGTCAGTTTGTGACCCATTCCGCACTTAGCCTCCTACAGCGCTCATTTCTGACTCTCTAGCAATTCCACTGGAGAAGGAAATGGCAACCCACTCCCGTATCTTTGCCATGGAAACCCCATGGACAGTACCAAAAGGCAAAAAGATATGATGCCGGAAGATGAGCCCCTCAGGTTGGAAGGTGTCCAATATGCTACTAGGGAAGAGCAGAGGGCTAGTACTAGTCGCGCCAGAAAGAATGAGCGACTGGGTCAAAGCCGAAAGGACACTCAGTTGCAGATGTATCTGGTGGTGAAAGGAAAGTCCAATGCCGCAAAGATCTATACTCCATAGGAACCTGGAATGTAAGATCCATGAATCAAGGCAAGCTGGATGTGGTCAAACAAGAGATGACAAGACTGAACATCGACATCTTAGGAATCAGTGAATTAAAATGCACAGGAATGGGTGAATTTAATTCAGATGACCATCAGGTATACTACTGTGGGCAAGAATCCCTCAGAAGAAATGGAGTAGCCTTCATAGTCAATAAAAGAGTAGGAAAAGCAGTACTGGGATACAATCTCCAAAATGACAGAATGATCTCAGTTCGAATCCAAGGCAAACCATTCAACATCACAGTAGTCCAAATCTATGCCCCAACCACTGGTGCTGAAGAGGCTGAAGTTGACCAGTTCTATGAAGGCCTACAACACCTTCTAGAATTAACACCAAAAAATGATGTCCTTATCATCATGGGGGATTGGAATGCTAAAGTAGGAAGCCAAAAGATAACTGGAATAACAGGCAAGTTTGGCCTTGGAGTACAAAATGAAGCAGGGCACAGGCTGGAAGAATTTTGTCAAGAGAATATGATGGTCATAGCAAACACTCTTTTCCAACAACCCAAGAGACGACTCTACACATGGACATCACCAGACGGTCAACACAGAAATCAGATTGACTATGTGCTCTGCAGCCAAAGATGGAGAAACTCTGTACAGTCAGTAAAAACTAGACCAGGAGCTGACTGTGGCTCAGATCATGAGCTTCTCGTTGCAAAATTTAGGCTTAAGTTGAAGAAAGTAGGGAAAAGCACTAGGCCACTCAGGTATGACCTAAATCATATCCCTGATGAATATACAGTGGAGGTGACAAATAGATTTAAGGAATTAGATCTGATAGACAGAGTGCCTGAAGAACTATGGACGGAGGTTCGCAACATTGTACAAGAGGCAGCAACTAAAACCATCTCAAAGAAAAAGAAATGCAAGAAAACAAAATGGCTGACTGAGGAAGCTTTACAAATAGCTGAGGAAAAAAGGGAAGCAAAAGGCAAGGGAGAAAGAGAAAGATACACCCAATTGAATGCAGAATTCCTGAGAATAGCAAGAAGAGATAAGAATGCCTTATTAAATGAGCAGTGCAAAGAAATAGAAGAAAACAATATAATAGGGAGGACCAGAGATCTCTTCAAGAAAATTGGAGATATGAAGGGAACGTTTCATGCAAAGATGGGCATGATAAGGACCAAAATGGCAGGGACCTAACAGAGGCAGAAGAGATTAAGAAGAGGTGGCAAGATTACACAGAAGAACTATACAAGAAAGAGCTTAACATCCCTGATAACCACGATGGGGCGGTCACTGACCTCGAGCCAGACATCCTGGAATGTGAAGTCAAATGAGCCTTAGGAAGTCTGAACAACAACAAAGCTAGTGAAGGTGACAGTATTCCAGCTGAGCTATTCAAAATCTTAAAAGATGATGCAGTAAAAGTGCTACACTCAATATGTCAGCAAATTTGGAAAACTCAACAGTGGCCACAGGATTGGAAAAGGTCAGTTTACATTCCGATCCCAAAGAAGGGCAATGCCAAAGAATGTTCAAACTACTGCACCATTGCACTCATTTCACATGCTAGCAAAGTGATGCTCAAAATCCTACAAGCTAGGCTCCAGCAGTATGTGGACCGAGAACTACCAGAAGTACAGGCAGGATTTCGAAGAGGGAGAGGAACTAGAGATCAAATTGCCAACATACGCTGGATCATGGAGAAAGCTAGGCAGTTCCAGAAAAACATCTACCTCTGCTTCACTGACTACACTAAAGTCTTTGATTGTGTGTATCACAACAAATTGTGGCAAGTTCTTAAAGAGATGGGAGTACCTTACCATCTTATTTGTCTCTTGAGAAACCTATATGCAAGTCAAGAAGCAACAGTGAGAACTGGACACGGAACCACTGATTGGTTCAAAATTGAGAAAGGAGTTCGGCAAGGCTGTATACTGTCGCCCTGCCTATTTAACTTATATGCAGAGCACATCATGAGAAAGGCGGGGCTAGATGAATCACCAGTTGGAATTAAGATTGCTGGGAGAAACATCAACCACCTCAGATATGCAGATGATACCACTCTCATGGCAGAAAGTGAAGAGGAACTAAAGAGCCTCTTGATGCGGGTGAAGGAGGAGAGTGCAAAAATTGGCCTGAAACTCAACATTAAGAAAACTAAGATCATGGCATCCAGTCCTCTCACTTCCTGGCAAATAGATGGGGAAGAAATGGAGGTAGTGACAGAATTTATTTTCCTGGGCTCCAAGATCACTGCAGATGGGGACTGAAATTAAAGAAATTAAAAGACGCTTGCTCCTGGGGAGGAAAGCTATGGCAAATCTAGACAGCATACTAAAAAGCAGAGACATCACCCCGCCAACAAAAGTGCATATAGTCAAGGCTATGGTTTTCCCAGTTGCAAGGTATGGCTGTGAAAGCTGGACCATAAGGAAGGCTGAGCACTGAAGGATGGAGGCCTTTGAATTGTGGTGCTAGAGGAGACTCCTGCGAGTCCCTTGGACCGCAAGGCGATCAAACCAGTCAGTCCTAGAGGAGATCAACCCTGACTGCTCTTTAGAAGGCCAGATGCTGAAGATGAAACTCAGATACTTTGGCCACCTAATGAGAAGGAAGGAGTCCCTGGAGAAGAGCCTAATGCTGGGAACAATAGATGGCAAAAGAAGAGGGGACGGCAGAGAAAGAGGTGGCTAGATGGAGTCACTGAAGCAGTTGGTGTGAGCTTAAGTGGACTCCAGGGGAGGGTGGAGGACAGGAAGGCCTGGAGGAGTGTTGTCCATGGGGTCGCGATTGGTCGGACACGACTTCGCGACTAACAAGCAATTCCAGCACGAGGAAACAGCAGGCGCGCGCTCATACACGCACGTCACTCACGTAACCTCGCATAAGGTGAGAACACGAACCCTCCGCCAGGGCGAAACGGAAACATAGGGCGGCGCATGCGCACAAACGATTGCAGTAGACTAACCCGGTTCAGTGCCTCTTTGTCAAAAATACTGTATTTTCTTGCCGCCCCCGCGGGATGAGAAGTGCCACTCAGGTTCTTCTTCGTCTTATCCATGATGGACCCTTGATTAAGAAACTGGGCGGAAAAAGGAAAGGGGAACAATCACAGAAATAGCTCAGGAACGTTCAACCAACCGCCTACTACGACCCGCTACACCAACAGCATGAGAGACGAGATTTCCCCGCCTCTGAATGACGTCATTAAGCGCGACGTAAATTAAAGATGCAGAGCGGAATAGAGGTAAATGCCTAGAGATAGAAAGGGAAGAGTCGACCCTCCCGTGGCTGTTAAGCTGAGTGCAGGAACACGCTCGTGTAAGCCGCCGTACTCAATTCTGGTACCCTCCAAATGTGTTGGACTACAAGTGCCATGCTCCCGCAGCCAGCCAATGGAAGACTACAGTTTGGGAAAGGAGAGTTATGAATATGCAATTTACGCTGGCCTTCGGGTAGAGGTTGGTTTGCTGTGGAGATGTACCTCGCCTTTCAAGTTCGTTGCAACCTGAAGTACGTTTAGTGGTGTCTTTTTCCTTTGAGGAAGCCTGGAATTCGAAAACAGATACTGACAAAAACGTGAATATCTTCTGCGACCTTTTACACCACCATTTCATACAATCCTGATTGTACGAAAGTTGTGCAGTATCAGCTTTTCAGAAGTGACTACCAGAGAAATGCATTTGCTGATGAGATCCGTAATTTTACAAATGCAAACAAAAGAATGCTTATAGATTAGATGCCATCATGTTACCAGTTCGGAAGTATAACTTAAATTGCAGACTTGTTGAAATCAATATCGATCTTGAACGGGTCAGTTACTACTTGTCTTACTCTTTTGACATTTTATATTGTGATCACAGTGTGATTACACTGTAATTGTATTGCTTGTTGATATATTCTTTAAAAGTTTCTAAAATGGATCAGCTTCATATGCAACCCATAAAAACCGAGGAGCTGACAGTTCTTACAGTTGCTTTGAGTAAGTTGTTTAAAACAACTTTCAATCTCATCCCCCATTTAACACACACATTGACACCTGCCTTGTTAGGATAATAACACTGGACTATATTGCAGGGTTATCAGAAGCCAAAGTCTCAGCTTCAGCCATATTGTGTACTGTAAAGTGTTTTCATTATACAGCTGTTGTCAGCCACTAACTCTCATGCTCATTCCGTTCCTGCAATCCTGCACTGCAAGCAGTGGGGAAGGATATATAATAGTTAAGGAGCTATAGCAGTTACATTATTTATATTGTTTTTCCTTCTTCTGGTCATTATTTTCCATTCCAGATGTTGCTGGCAGATCCGGTCTCTACTTGCCTTTCTTCTGCAGTGCATTATATAGTTTGTGAGGCTGGATTTGAGATAAAATCAAACCCTGGTATTAGTTGCATTATATCTGACAGTGGTGAGGTGTATTGGAGAGTGATCATAGAACATGTACGGTATGAAGAACCAGGTGTGTGTTTGCTCTAAATGGCATACTTATTGATTATGTAAGACTGCAATAATAAGCATGCTCACCTGGGAGTGAGTCCTATTGAATACATTGGGACCAATGTCTCAGTAAACTTACACAGAGGGTTGCATTGTGAATAGTGTATTTTATCCACATATTGTTGGGCAATCATCATTGTCTAATTCAGTATCAATAATTTTTAATCCTCCAATCAGCTAGGGATGACAATCTTTCCCCAGTTCCACTTTATGTTGCAGAACTGACACAGAAATGGACCTATAACACAGTCATCTGATTACATTCTTGGGTCCCATACCTGTACAGCATTCCCAGATTTTGTACCTTGTATGTTTTTTTTTTCTGGAAACACCTACTTGGAGCATAAAATTTCCCTAGAAGCTATCGATTTTTGTCACTGAGGTGTCTTCATTCCCCATATACAAACCATTTCATGTAGTTAAAAAATGTCCCATGGATTTTCCCAGTGATTGAGGGATACAGGTTGAATAATCCAGGTATCAGTACTCTGCAATAAACAATAGGATTTAATTGGGGCCACAGTGGGGAGGCCATTTACCTGACCTGAGGCAGATTTCTTATGGGGTTAGAAAAACACCACACACACTGGAATTTTGGATTGCAACTTTAGGGAGAAACAGTTGTTTTGGAACTTGATGTTTATACTTTATAAAATATGAGATAATTGATACTGTGCCTAACTGACATTTTCTTGTTTTTAAGATCAAACGCTGGATTATGTAGAAAGTGTGAGATCTTTAGGTCCTTTATGTGAATCTGTTCACTTGCATTTACAATCCCTTAACATGAAACAATTTGAAGACCAGTTAATGTTGTGGTTCCAATGGACAAAATGCCCAGAGGTAGGAAAATAAATTTTGCTTGAATGGAAAGTGAAAATGGGGTGGAGCTGGATTCATAATCTGTATTTGTTATAATGCCACCATTGTATATGACATTATACAGGGTGACATAAGCAAAAGCATGGTGTTTTACAATTGAAATATCAAATGGGGAAGGCAACAAAATGAGAGAAAGGGAGAACAAGTGATGGAGTTTGAATCCTATGTTGGGCAGATTTTAACATGAGTTATCACATTCTGGCTATGCAATGCATGTGTGTTGTTGAAAACTCCACATTGACTGTACCTGTGAAAAGGACAGAATGGACACTGTTAGTAACTGGATGTTTCTGCACAAACATTTTGTATTGATGCACCAGTGTTTGAGAAGAGAGTGTTATATTTCTATCTTCCATATAGTATGAAGTTTCCCAACTACTACATTTGGGATTTAGAGACATTTCAAGGGCAAAAAGTCCCCACAACCACCACCTACTGGAAATGGGGGGGATATACCAAGAAAAAAAGCATAAATCCTTGGAAATTTGACAAATCTTAACATTTTGAGGATCTAAGAGGAGCTAAACATTTCAAGTATTTTGACATCTAAGAATCTTAAGCTGCAGAACAGATATCCAAGGAAAAGTGTTCAACCCAAAGCTCAAGTTTATTAGAAAGCACCAATCTATGCCGTATAACGGGAGAAGATGCTATTTTCACCCACTCCACAAATGTCACAAAGAGCAGAGACACATCTCAAAACAGACAGAATGCTGAATGTTTTCTCAAGACCTAAAAAACAGCAGCCAGCTGAATCCAACCACACTGGTCAAAAATCTGGAAGTTATTCAGAGCTAGGCAGAAAGGGAAACTTCTGATATCTGGAATGCCCATTTCCTACATCCAGAACAATGTGTTTTTTAAGTATAATAACTGTTTTCCTTAAGGAACCTATCACCTGTTTATTCTGGAGTATGGCTTTTCTAAGGACTAGTAATTTTCTTACATCTGCATTGGGACTGTTTGCATCATCCAGTTGCACCTGACGCAAAGATGTGGCAAAATTTCAATCTTTCGCTCCCTCTCCCCTCTGCCTCTCCCTCCCCCTCTCCCTCCCTCCCTCCCTCCCTCCCTCCCTCCCTCTCTCTCTCTCACACACACACACACACACAAGAGAGAGAGAGAGAGAGAGAGAGAGAGAGAGAGAGAGAGAGAGAGAGAGTGTTTTGGCAAACCAGTTCTGTGGTTTACCGAATTACAGGGAACCACATGTGAGTACAAAGATAGTTACATACCAAACACCATCACAATCACTCAGGACAGATTTTTTTTTCAGTGTGAACAAAGTTATGGTGACCTGTTTAATAGGTAGACAAGGAGGACAGATGAGGGGACTGGGGCGGGGTGGGGTGGGGCAGGGGGCAGCCAAGCAAATAGCCATTGTGTTGTCTCCATCAGTGGTCTAACTTTTAAAAGGAAACACAAGGAGGAAGCCCTCCTCATGAGCAAGAATTTAAATGGAAAGGATAGAGGAAGGCTCTTCTCAAATACACCGTGTGAAACGGTAATCAAGGAATACTTGTAAAATGTTGTTCTAGCCCAGATTATATTTGTAAGGTTTCTTCTGTTCCATTAATGTAAATGTGGAAAAGGTGATTCATATGGCTACCCTTGATTTCCCTTTCTTCCAAACTATAGATATTTCTCAAAATGTTTGATGCTATAAAGAGTTCACATGCTACAGCAGTTGCACTGAGCTTAATGAAGCTTACGTCCTGTTTGGAACGCGCTTTGGGTGATGTAAGTGCCAAAATCTTAGACATTGCCAAGATTTGGGCTAACAAGTTCTTTTTGTACTCAAGAAGGCTATCTTTCACTTCCTTGTGTAATAATCTGACGCTCACTGATTGAATATAATTACCAGCTGCTTTCTACTTTGGGGTATGGTGAATGAATGCAAAATGAAGCAAGGCTACAACTTTCTGTGTCTGGAGGGCCTCCTGCCCTGCCAGATGTCTGATTGTTGCGCAGGAATTGAGGCCCTCAGGTTCTTCCACTGGTGCATGCAGCTTTGACACTGCCTTCCAGGAGGGCAAGACAAGGTGTGGCCAGTACCACTTGCTGCCTTGTGGAGAAGGAAGAGCAGCAGCAGCTCTGAAACTGGGTGCCAAAAGAGCTGCATACAGTTGGGCTGGTCTTTTTCTTCCCTGCTCCCTCTTGGCACTGCTCAGTAGATGCTGTTACTGCTGCATGGGAAGAGAAGGGATGAAGTGGGGCAAAGGGAGGGGAAGACTTCCCTTTTATCCCCACTCCTCTTGCTCATGTGCAGAACCTCTGCAAGTAGACAGCAGAACAAACCACAAGCAATCCAACCAGTTTGATGAATGGTGGGGAGTTAAATTCGGGTGGAGGATTAGATGACCATGAGGCCCTCTAAGAGTCAAATGACCTCAGGGGACACAGACGCAGCCCTTGCCGTCAAACCCTGGCCAAAATGGTAGGTGAAAGGCACACCTTGTGTGTTGACCAAGACCTAGATTCGCTGTGCACGGTGATTCTGCTGTTGGGCTCTTCTACAGCATTGCTGCCCAACTGAGTTGAGAGTTGGAGGAGCACTCCAGCCATCACCTCAGCTAAGGGCTCTGTGTCCAAGCCACATCCTCCCCAATGGGAGGGCCAAATTATTAAATGACAAAGGGCTTAACTGCTATAAAAATAACTCTACTGCTGTTAAAGTAGCCACTTCTCCATAATTTTAAAATATTAATATGATGGCTGCAGTGAGAGTCTTTCTTGTTCCATTCCTGCTGTCATGAATAGGAAACCGTCCCAAGACACCAGTAGTTGGACAGTCTATCAAAGCTTTGAATGAATGAATGAATGAATATTCAGCTAGGCTTTTCCTGCTCAGCCAAAAGTTAACAGCATTCTGTTCTACATAAAGTAAAATGCTTTTTGTGTTGCTGCTGCTTCTTATTTTCCCCTCCTGTCCTCTAAACAGAAGTGGCAGTTGCCTTTGTGCTGCATGGAAAAACTGTCAGGAAATAACAATTTTGAGCTGCCTTGTGAAACTCATTCACCAGGAGAAAAGGTTCATATGATTTGAATGCTGCTGTGAGGAACAGCATCCAGAAAATAGAGACTTTTATTGCTTATGGAAAATCCCTGCATAGTTCATCAAGAGCTCCATTTTAATTAACTGTCAGCAAGACATGGAAAACTGAATGCCACAGTCTCTGGTTTGCAGATTTGCAATGATTCTACTGGGAAGCGATATGCCACATATGTGGAAAGTCTTCAGTCAAGTTTAGTGGACTGCATTTGATCCATTGAACTTGGGAAGACAATCATGGCCTTTAAATCAAGGTTGTCATTGTCCTTTCCAGGAGTTTTGCTGAGGTACTTCGTTGACCACCTTACCAAAACATTGTCCAGTGCAGCTTTTTATTTTTCTCCTTGAACACCCCATCTCCAACATGTATCACAAAGTACCTTCAGGACTCCCTTCAAGTTCCAAGCGAGTTTTCCATGTGGCCTGGAAGGCAGACTGAACTTTTCCAACTCTAAAGCCTCTTGCATGTGTGAGTCCTCTCTTGCCTTCAGTCCAGGCACTGGATGACCAATGCAGCATTGTTTCTTATCTACTACTATTCTATGCAGCTATTCTATGCTACTCCACTTTTGCAGCCTCACAGCTCATGCACATACTCAGATGGAACTGATTTCAGTAGAACTTATTCCCACATGTAAGTGTGCCCAGGATTGCACTGCATATCCCTTTGGCAGGAGCATCAGCTATATCATCTTAATGCTTTGAACCTTTGGTGTTAAAGATACTTGGGTATGATCCTAACTGCTTCATAACCTCTCACCTCTAGGAGAGCATTAAAGCTTCAATTGTTTGTTTCCTTTAAATTTATTTTTAAAGCAAAAAGAAAACTTTACCAAAAATTTTAGCAGGCAAACTGAAGCATTGACAGGAAATTAAAGTATATCGTTTTGATTCCTAGGTGTTCTTACTACTTGGCAAAGATTGTCCCTTTCTTCTAAGAGACTTGCTCGCTTCTCAGGAGCTGGCTTCAGTATTTGGACAATCAGTGGTGAGTGGCTGGATGTAGAAATTCATACAGCTTTTATTTTTGTTTCAAAAACCTTTTATTTCTATCAATTTCCTGTTTTCTACAGTGTCATTATACCTAGGGCTTAGATAACTGCTGCATACACAGGAGGGCACTAATTGTGATGGGGCTTGGCTACCTCACCATGGCTTGTAGTAGTCAGTGCGGCTTGGCTTTGGACCTCATGGCCTGTAAGGATTCTTTGTAGGGTATGAGACATGTGTGTATAAATGGCAACCTGTCTCCTCCAGTCTATGGCACTGATACTATTTCAAAGTCTAAATGTTTCCTAAAGGAATGTTTCCTAAAGTAATTCTGTTTTGTCCAATTAGATGGATGTTCTCAGAGTGTTCATCGGATCTCCAAGAGGTCTAAATCTTCGCAATATCTTGTGGCATGGATTTGCATCACCTCTAGAAATTCCTGTGAAGTAAGTCTTCCAGTTAAGTCAGTTCTTTTGGGTTTCTTCTTCTTTCTTAAGAGTCTCCATAGGAATAACAGTGCAGTTGGAGTAGGAGAGGAATGCTGGTTTAGCCTTTGAAGGGTTATGTTGCTCATATCCCATTAAAGCTTGATTGTAAATGGGATGGCAACCTTGCAGCTATCTAGTGCTTACACTTTTTGGGGGGAAAACCACCAAGTTATGCCACAGCTGTTGCTGTGCAGGTTACTCATGCTAGTGCCACATCAGTGGAGTAAGTAGAGCTGCAGTGTTGAATATTGCCCTTGATCTTTTATCTCACCTTCTCAGTCCTTGCTTCCATCCCATCTATTCCCCATTCTTTATCATTTTTGCTGAGCTAATGTAGATGATACTGCGGTATGGGCAAAAGGTGATAAAAAGACAGCAGAATGCAGGGAAATCACTATATAAGCTTAGGTTATATAAAACTAGATTTGCTCTGACTGTGGGTTATTTAAGAAAAATGTTCTCAACCTACTATGCCTACTATTTCCCAGTGGGAAAGATATCACTGGTATTAAGAGCATCACAGCTCCCAGTTCTAGACGTAATACGCAACCATCATGACTGGTAGCTAATGATAGCCTTTTAATGGTGCGTTTGTGTGCCCATGCTTCGGAGTTCTAACCTTGCTGTATGCCCTGTTTCCCCAAGGTATTCCTCTATGCTGCTTTTCTTAACAGCAGGCTTGGGGCAACTGCTGAAGAATTACCTTCTGCAAACACAGTCCACTGTAATTCATCGGACTTATGTATCCTTCAGTAACATACAAGAACTACATGTTTTTCCAGGTTAAGTGTGTTATGGCAAATCATTCATGCTAGTTTAATCTGTTCTATTATGCTATTATAGGTTTTCCTGTTCTTCTTACAAGATGGTTGTCCAGATTTTCTTACAAATTCAGTTTCCTGTCCATGAATCATGGCTACTGAGTATGCAGAGGTCCACTGTAAGGAAGGACCCAGCATGCACTTGTCAAGGCTTTCCAGCTTTCAAGGCTTTCCAGATATAATACTAGCTACAAGCTAATGTTGGCCTTTTCCATGCTGTGTAGCACTAGAGCACCACCTCTGATTTAAACTTGGGAAAGATCCTTCTAGAAGGAAGCCTCTGATCTTGGAGGCTTCCAGGTATGTAGAGCCCTGCCAAACTACTGCTGGTCAGGTAGCATTTGCACCTCTCTACCCTTGTTTTACAAAGGTTTCCTCTAGACAAGAAGCTGGGACCATTTAGAGAGGGTGCAGTGCTAATGGCTGGGCCAGGACTGGAGAGGCCCTAGCATTTCTCTCTTGACCTTTCCTGTCCACCAAGATGCCCTTTTGTCCATCCCTCTCCCTCCCTCTCTTTCACTCGGAAACAGTTGGTCTGGCCAAAGTCTCATCAAACTCACTATGACTGAATAAGCATGCATAAGGTTGGACTGTCAAATATTGCAAGGATTATGGAAATACAGTCAAACTTGGACTTTCACAGGTTTCTCTTTCATGGGTTTGAGTATTCATGAGCTTGCCATCGATAATTAAATGGAAATGTTTTGGGAGTTTTGTGGCCTACTGTGGAAAATTGCAGATGACGCATGCAGACTAGAAAATGTACAGAAAATACTAAAAAGTTTAGCAACTCATAAATGCATAAAATATATACCTTATTAATCTGTTTTATCATTTAGTACCATAAATATATAAACAAATTTATTATAAAAAAGTTAAATTATGTAAAAAGTTTCAGTACACTAAAGAACTGTGGGCTATGCCATGCTCTTTTCTTTGCTCTTTTCTGGGCACTAGCCAGCCTCACTCAGTGTTCGTCTCTCAATGTGCAGTGCATTTCTTGCAACTCTTTGCATATTGAAGTGCAATAAAATATCAACTATAATCCATGGGTCCAAAGCATAGTGCTTCTGAAAGTGCTTCCAAGAGGCAGTGAAGACCTTACAAGAAAGGGTTGAATGATTAGATATGCTTCATACAGTGAAGTCAGCTGCTGCAGTTGCCCATTGTTGACCATTGGCTAACACAGAGAGAGGGAGGAAGAGGGAGAAGTAATCCAGTACATGTACTGGAGTATTTAGAGTTAAGGTTTGGGGTAGGGGCTCAGTTTTTCCACATTCGAGGGGTCCTGCACCCCTAACCGCCATGAATGTGGAGGTTTGACTGTAGTATTTCCAATTCATAATCTTGTCCAAGTGTATAATTCCCACTCATCTAAAGATGTATGCACTTTGTCACATATGACGAAGAACTATGCAAAGCTTTGCACAACATGTTTATTTCTGCTGTTTTGTAGATCTTAATCATGAAGTGTTGTCATTGGCTGAAGAATTAGTCATCAAATCAAATATTGCATTAAGAACCATGCAGCCTTTTTGGATTGCTGCACTAACGGCATTCAGACAATCCAGGTAATCTCCGTAACTTTTCCCTAGTCTCTTTTAAAAATTTATTTTATCAGTTTCAACACAGGTGTAACTATACAGCATTCTAGGGCATCGTCTGTTATTTAGAGGGTTCCACTTGTCAGAGGCTGCCACATCTGGCTTTTATGTAAGAAATATAAATGCCCTGATGTATAAGCAGCTAGAAAAATCTGTCCTTTTCCAGCAAAAAGACTGAAGAATTCTCTGCACTCTTGATACAAACATGCCATGTTGATCTTTAGTTTAGCCTAGTGTTGCCTGTGGGCTTTGGGATGCCAAACCACAGGGTTCCCCTTTGCCCTAAGCAGCCACTTGCTTGTCCCATGACTTGTAAGCAGAATGAGACTGGTTCAATAGCTGAAAGGCCAATTCTACACACATTAATGCAGAAGCAAAGTTTCCTCCTTGTTAGCACCACTTGCTCTCTAACAGAGGTACCCATACGATTGCAATGACCCTGCAACAGCTTGACCCTGCAATCCTTTGCATATTTTACTTAGAAGAAGGCACTATTGAGTTCAATGGGACTTACTCCCAAATTGCCTACAAGGATTAGAAAAGCAAGCCTTCTTCAGAGTAACTAAGTGAATAAAAGTAGTGAATCAAGTTATAAAGGCTTATTTGGGAGTTAACAGGGCAAGCAGTAAAAACAAGCTAGGCGGGGTAAGCAGACAGAAAAGGGGCGGAAAAGGAAGGTGGACTGTGCAAAAAACTTTACTTCACATTGTGTGGGTTAGTGCACAAATTATGCTCCTTTGTTGCAGCTTGGAGTGCAGGATTTCCTGCATTACACTGGTGAGTTTAGCAGTGCAATTGACTCATTTGCATTGATTACATTCCCTGAGAAAAGAATTGCCAGTGTATTTCCTTTCCTCTCACCTGAACACATTGCATTGTGATGGAGTAACTGGGCTTCTCCTTCGGATGTGATAAAATTGGAATTCTGTCAATTATACTGGGGAGTCTTCTAAAATATTAGGTAATGCAGTGTTCTAGAAGAACAGATATTGTGAACCTTCACCCTTTTTAAAAGGTTGTATTTTTCCATACCCGCCCCCGCCCCCGAGGGTATGGAATGGGCTTCCATGGGAGGTGGCTGAGGCCCCATCGGTAAGGATGTTCAAAGATAGGCTGGACATGCACATGGTGGGCCAGCTGGAGCCAGGGGTCAGACGAGATGGCCCGAGAGCTCCTTCTGACTCACCCTATGTTTCTTTGTACTTTTTCTCCCATTGCATATTGCTTCCATGCCTAGCACCTTTAGTGCAGATATGTGACTACAATGCAAGCACAGATGAGGCCCATTCTTGATTAGAACACATTGTCTTAATATGTTTATGAAAAACACTAGATTTTCATGACAGAGGAAACATTTGTAGTGCAAATTAGTATTACTGTATTCTTTCTTTCAGGTATGCTGACTGTGTTATACTGCTACTTCCTCAGTTGGAAAGTGGACTCAGATTGCTTTTTACAAAATGTAATAACTGTCCAAACAGACTAATGACAGCTGAGGTGAGAAAGAGAGTGTGTGTTTGGTCACTTATCTCTAGTTACTTTTAGATGATAAGATGCAGGAACCCAATTCAGATGTACATTTTTCATCTTGTTAAAGAATAGTTTATCCTTCAGGAACAGCCTCAGTTAATTTATATGTAATTTACATTGGATACTTTAGTTGGTGCAAAATAGAGCAGCCAGGTTGCTGATGGGGACTGGGCATTATTCTCACATAACCCCAGGCCTCTACCAGCTTCACTGGCTCCCCATTGAAGTCTGGGCTCAATTCAAGGTGCTGGTTATCACCTATAAAGCCCTTAATGGCTTGGGACCTGGATACCTAAAGGAACGCCTTCTTCCATATTTGCCCTCCCGCCCCTGAGATCGGCAGCATAGGCCCTCCTCCAGGAACCCTCCGTGAAAGACATTAGGAGGCTAAGTACTCAGAGGAGGGCTTTCTCTGCAATGGCGCCCCGTCTATGGAATGTGCTCCCCAGAGAGGTCCGCCTGGCGCCATCATTATTTGTTTTTCGGCACCAGGCTAAGACCTTTCTATTTAAACAAATATCATCTATAGGTTTTAATTTGCAGCCAGGGTGATCTGGATTTTATTTGCACTATTTGTATTATGTTTGTTTATTGTATGTAAACCGTCCCAAGGCTCATGTGATGGGACGGCATACAAAAATTCTAACTAAATAAATAAACCACATTTTCCACAATACATTGTGCTCAGGGCTGTACACAAAAACATTATACTACATATGATACAAGAACTCAATGGAATTCATTTAAAACATGTAAATGAGCACAAGGCATGGCAGTAGGTCAGTTCACAACGCTCAGTACCAATAATCTTAACATTATTCAAACTGAATAATTTACTAAACAGTCCATGTTAAGAGATACCTCATCCACATCAGTCTCAAAGCAAAAAATAAAAAGGGGAAAGAAAAACATCCCATACAAAGCTTGGGCAGCAGAAAGAGACCCTCCTCTCTTCAACTTCAATGTCAGATCCCAGGAGGGACACCTGCATACCTGTGACCCTTCCTGGCCGTCTCTTTGCAGCAGATCCTAGGAAAGGCAAAACAGAAAAAGCTCCTTCCTGAGCAGAAGGCCTCAGATTGGGCTAAAGGCAGCACAGACACCTTCACCCAACCCAAATATATGTGTAGTATCTGCTCTTGTATGGAGGTTCCTAGAGCCACAGGTGTGGCAAGGCTGGTGGCAGCGGCCGAGCCCAGATGGTGTAAACAGGCTTTCCCCTTGCCACGTTCCTGGGAATGAATCTGGCAAGACCTCTCTTAGAATTCAAGTGTGTACAGTTCTGGTCACTGCATCTCTAAAGGACCTTGTAGAGACAGGAAGGGTACAGAAAGGGGCTGTCAAAATGATCCAAGGGCCGGAGCAACTCCTCTGTGTGGAGTGTTTGCAATGCTCTAATCCAGCAGGGCTCTTCTTCTGTTACTCCTGAGACTATGTGTCCATCCCTCCTGCTACCTCCTAGGAACATAGGAAGCTGCCTTATACTGAGCCTGAGCATCGGTCCATCTAGTCCAACACCATTGACCTTGAGGAGTTTGCTTCCCACACCTGGGGATGCCAGGAATTGAACCTGGTGCCAGTGCATGCACCTGCTCTACAGCTTAAATTACACTTTCCCCTTTACATCCAAAATAGAGGACTTAGTTTTAATGTCAATGTACTAATCAGGATCTCAAACACACAACTGGTGCTTTTACTGGTATGTTTTCCCATAGAGAAATCATACTGGTATCCTATAAATATGAGCATGTTTTTCCTTGTGGAGTACATATCAGCTCAGAGCAGCATGGCAGACTGTTTCATTTGGTTCATAATCTATGATGAAGGCTAGAAAATGCTTCAAGTCAGGATGGAAAATGGCTGGAGAATCAACATTGCTCAGATAGTTCTCTTTTTTTTCTCAGCAATGGCCCAATAGCTTTAGGTTTGAGGACCTTCTGCACTTCCCAATTAAGAGAGAAATCAATAGTTCTGTGCAACAGTGGAACTAGATGTTCTGTCCCCAGCAAATGTTGAGAGTTTAACTGTGTAGTATTACTAATTTCACGGTACTTGTTGGGATAAAACTTTTTTTAATTAGCAGAAGGCAGAATTCCAGCCTAATGATGCACAAACACTTCACAATCTACTAGTAAACATAATTTCAGTATATATGTCAAGTATAGTTTATATTATACTTTCCCCAGACATGAAAGATTATAGATAATGTCTGTCTTTTCTGTTCTAGTCATCTTCTTTGTACACCACTTTAGATGAGGTAAGCTAACTATGTAACACATAGGAGTATTTGATACAATGCTATAATGGTCATACAATGGTCACTGTTTTCATAGTTTGACATGTCATTTATTAAATTGAAATGCAAGAAAAATGAACAGTGCCATCCTTCAAATATAAATCTGTTATAAAACCTTAGAGTAACACAATAGTCTGAGAATCTTTTCATACTATTGGAATGGAAAATCATTATAGCAGTAGGGGAAAATACTTGTACTGAAATCATGAACCTCTTCTTTGTCAACTCTGAATCCTTTCCTAAATAATGATATCCAGTTAAGTCTGAGTAACTGGATTAGATAGGATCAGACTTTCTCTGGTCCTGAAATGCACTATGTCAATCTGTGCCCATCCTGGCTTGTTAGCTCAGACTCCAATATGCAGTTGTTAAATGAGGGGAGCAATGGGCAGTGGTGGCCCAAACCCAGGTATTTCTGGATGAGACTGATTACTAGGATGCTTTTCATAATTGCATCGGATCTGGTGTTAGGGTGGGGACTATCCTGGTTGCCCCAGTGAATGACCTACACCAAGAAATTATGTGGGGACCTCTTGGTTCTTCCAGACCAATCAGCAACTTTAAATATTAAATTTCATATAAAATTTCATAAAATGTATGCTATCTCTCTTTAAGGATGGGAGTGGGAGGTGAGGGAGGCATCATTGTGCCATGTCTCTGGTCATTTCTTGATGGTGGGTTTCAGAAAGCGGTGTTGGTCCCCTTGATTCCTGGGCTGTAGGGTTCCACAAGGTTCTATCACATCCCTAGATAGGAGGACACAATGTAAAATGTAATCTAGATGAAGAGGTATGGTTGTATAGCAGCAGCTGTAGAAGTTGTCTTGGATGGGTGGGTATCTAGCTAGCTAATGCAGGAGCAACCTGAACGTAGTAAAGGAGATATTAGTTCTCCATTTTGATTTCCCTTTTTGTTTTCACTGAATTAAAGTGTATCGCTTTAACTTGGAAATGTTGCACCATGTTGTATTTGATATTATTTACCAATCTTTCTTTTTCTCTTATGTAGATACTAGCAAAACAATTGAATAATGAAGAAACCAATCAGCTCCTTTTAGTTCTTGGTGAACCAACAATAGTAAGATCATTGATTTTTGTTCTTTGAACAGAACTGGAAATACAGTTTCTTTCCAGGGTTGCACATCCTGTACATACTAAGCTGGGTCTCACCTCTCACTTATTCAGTAGATGCTTCATAATAAGGTCATTTGATTTTATAATGTCCATGTTAGGATCCTGATCTAGGGACTGTTTTAGAAAGCTGACCTACAAAATAAGCACATCTTCAAGTATAGTAGTACTAAAATGCTTCAAATAACTCACCCACATTGTTTTCTGTGTAAGTGGTTTGTGGACTGAATATTTCCAGCATTGGCAAGCTTCTTATAAAATAAAAAATAGACTCATTTAGTATGAATGTAAAATGGTAATAACGGTTTTAACCATTATGGTAATAAATCATTATGGTAATGGTTAAAGCTGAATGGTTTTAAAGCCATTCAACTGAGAATTCTGTTTGTTAACTTCCTAACAAGTTTAATGTTTTGCAAGAAACTATTTTAAGTGTGTACCTACAAATATATTGCAACAAGTAGAAGAGCAATGTTTCTTGGAGATATGGCAGTTCCTAAACAATAAAGCCAGTTGGCTGGTTACCATCATGGGTAACTAGCCATGGTGGGTTCTCAAGCTTGGCAGATGCAGACTACTTCCCTCAGGGTGGCTTGTTCTGAGGCAACAGTCCACCTTCACAATCCATGGCTTGTCCTAGGAGTTGTTGGACCCAGGATAGGTTGGCATGTGGCCACCGTCAATGACAGTCACTCTACCAAGTGCCAAGTGGAACGATCCCTCCAGCGATTGTGAGCCCTTGTGTGATCACTGGGCTTTTTTCCTTTTTATGAGAGAATCCTTTCTGCAATTTCCAAATTAACAGCCAGGGCACCCCCTTCAAAGTGCTAAAGCAATACATTGGAACAACCATCACTGGTTCACCACTTACTCTTGTTTCATGCAGTGGGCAAGAAACAGTGTATTATACAGCTCTATAAATTATCGTGGAAGTTTTTGGAAAACAGTGATATAAGCTGTTTCGTTTCTGTTTATGATTCTTTAAATTCCTATATTTCCATTATTTCTTTTACTATGCGGAATCTTACTTCGTAAAATACTAGACTTCTATTGCCTTACAAATATTGTCCACTGCTCTAATAATAAATGGAAAAAAATTATCATTACCAGTTTGACATAGAATAAATATAGCTAAAGAGGTTTCCATATCTGTATGCACCTCTTAACGTTGGAGATGAATGACAGATGAATAATCTGAACAGATTAACTTCTTGTAGGCCACAGTCCAAAAAAGGAACACACATATGTCAGAACCCCAAATGCAGCCACCTGGTGCTTCTATCACATCACTTTTCGTGACTACAAAAAGACAAGACACTATTGCACTAATAGGTGCAATCCTATTTCAGTTTAGGCAGAAAAAATGCTTATATTTCCCATGGGTAGGGTATGCTGGGAACTGGAGGCATTTTTCTGTCTAAGCATTTATAGTATTCTACCCTTAATGGATTTTCTATGGCACAAAATAAACAGAAGAAGCAGTGAGAAAAACACAGAAGGCTGTGAATGATGTCTGGATCTCCCATAATATTCCATGCATGAAACAGGGAATTTTCCTACTGAAAACCTCTTCTGAAAGTATTCTCTTTTTTGTGTGCTGCAGCACAAATAGCAATCTGGGCTCCAAGTTGGTTTTCTCTCCTCAGAAATACCCTTCTTAGAAGCAAGACTATAAAACATCTAGAAATATCAGATCTAATAAAAACAAACAGTCATCAGGAATGGTGCTTCTTGTCTTTTTCACGTACTTGTGTAGGAATTTCTCTGGGATTTCCTGAACCACCAAGAAGGTCCACGTGTTAGAGATCGTCTGAGCCATGGAGAATGCAACTTAAATGATTTCCCAAGAGCAATAGGAAATTCAATTCTTGCATTTTCTATTACGCTTTTGTGCAGATTTTCCAAGACAGATACTGCTGCCATCCAGGTAGGGAATGGTCTTGGTTCAGTAACACAGTTTCTAAACTATGCTGCTTTAGCTTTCTATTCCGTAATCTTTTCGTATTCCAGGCAAGCATTATTCCCCCTCTGTTATGTAGTATATAATTGCAATGGGTTGTTGTTATTTTTTTAACAAACATCCTGGCAAGGCCCCAAAGGGCTGGCCATGCCTAAATTCCCCGCTTTGTACTCAAAATCCTTTGACAAATATGAGGTGAACCTCATTAGCTAATCACTAGTAGGCTGAACAGTTTCCCCATACTTTCTCAAGAGTAGGGAGATTGTCTGAGACATTCTGAGACATTCTCACGGAAGCCCAAGGAGATAATTCAGTGTCACAGGTTCTGCTCTTACCATGAAGGACCCTGAGACCAGACAAGCAGCAAGATAATGCAAGCAGATGCTTGCAGCCAGAGATCCTTCCACACCTGAAGGAAAGGTCATGACCTGCCCTGCCCACCAGACCAACATTACATTTTTTAAAGTTAATAATTCAGTCATGGATCTATGGTGTTGTGCCTATTTTGATCTCTTTCCACTGTGTGTGTGTTTTCCATGTTGCAAACTACTTATTTATATGAGTAAACTCTCTAATAATGATGTGCAACTAAGTCCCCTGATATTATCTAGTACCATTATATTCAGTAGGACTACTTGCACTACTGTTTGCAGAAGGACTTAATTATGGTTACATTTGTGTAATATATTTTAACTGCTTTTTAAACCAGGAACACCAATTCCTAAAACCACTAATATGCTGTGCAGAGTGCTATTGTTCCCAGTTTCATCCAGTAGCCCAACTTAAGAAGCAGGTTTGTAGACTGTTTTCATTGTTGCTGTTCACAAGTGAGTTTGTCCCATCAAGCTTTTAAATACTTCTTATTTATGCTTATCTTATATAAGTATGCACATACATATGAAAGATATACTCTATACTTATATAGAGAGTCCTATATATAACTATTGGTGCAGTTTATAACCTTAAAACTAAATAAATAATACTTCAGCTGAAACAGCCGTAGTTTCCCACTTCAAAGTGTTGTTAAAGTGACTGGTAAAGTCAAACATGCACCTATAAAAATAAAATAAAATAAAATAAAATACATCCCAGCACAGTCTAGAAGTTTCTGTGGAACCCAGAGGGCTCTATTGGAAGTTACAAAGATGTTTAATTGGAATAGCTTTATATTACTTGTGACTTCAGGTTTGTAAGATCAGTGAAGACTCATTATTAGATCAAAGTAGCAGCTTGGGTTCAAAAGAACAGTGTTTAATAAAGGTCACATAATTAAGTTTCCCCATCTTTACTTCCCGCAGCTCCTAGCAACATGTGTAAAGGTAGTCATGAGGTTGTGGGAAAGGTATGGGATTTAGTGCAGGGGTGTGAGGTTAGCAGAATTGGAGCTCTTTCCTTGCATAAGCTAGAATCACTCTCCACTAATATTAGATACTCTTTTAATCCAAGCTGTTGTGTAAGATCCTTAAATAGCTCACTTAAGAGACATGATTAGTCTGATTTCTATATAGGTTTGTTTTTGCTTTCTAGGTGCTGAAGTGTACAAAAAGCATCAGTTCATGGTCTGATCTTCCTCTAGTGCCTGAAGAGCAAGTTCAGGAAATTACAGAGTAATGCCTTCCCCTCTCTTTCTTTTTGAGGCTGCAGGCAGTAATGAAGCAGTGGGTAAAGAATTCAGTATGTTTAAGATTGCTTGCAAGCCTTTGTCCTATAATAAATCTAGACACAACCAGGGAACCATTAACTTGCTAAATTTCAAATCTAAACACCAACCTGAAAAAATAAATACATGCATATTTTCTTACAGACAAAAGTTATTCACAATCTGATGGGAAAATGGGACATTTTCATAAAGCTGGAATAACAAAAACCTGAGCAAAATTAGGTTTCACAGATTCATTTCTCTGTTTCCCAACCTGATACTATCTAGATTTGTCAGACTGCAATTGGCAATTACTCCGCCCAGACATTAACCAACTACCTTATCATAGGCCTGCCTGTTTTACAGGTTGAGGGCAGGGATGCTTGAAATGCAAGATGCTTTGATTAGATAGGTGAGCTTATGTATTTAGATTATCTCTCTCATCTCATCCTAAAGGCTCAAGGCAGGTCTCAGTGAAAACAGCCTCTCCTCATCTGTCAAGTGTGTTGTCACTTTTAACACTTTTGGAGCTCATTAGAAATCTAAGGTTTCAACATAGAAAATTGACAGTGAACTCCGCCAAGGATGTGATTGGTATTGATGAGATATTATAAGGGATTTAGAAAACTAAATATTTTGATCTTGCTATTTGATGGCTTTTATAGCCTAATCTATTAAAATTCTTCCAACTTTTTTTTTTTAAGGTCTGCAAAAGATACTGGTGATGTTCCTTGTATTTGTGTGGCTGCTGATATTTTTTCTCAACTGCAACCCTACTTGCCTCCAAATATCAAACTTACAGGTGAACCTGTGAACAATCCACTAACAGAGAAGTAAGTTCTGGAACATTTTCTATGCTCTTCATCAAATCTGAAAATATCCTTGTATGACCTTTATTTTTGTGGTGCTCCAAAGATGCATTTCTATTAAATATGAAGGCAATCTCACAAGAATGTAAATTTGAGTGGTAATGATGCCATTTTCTCAAATCCTTCAAGTAACAGTGTAGAAGATTGGGAGCAGACCATGTACATGAACACAACCTCCTCTCCTCTCCCATCATACACTCAACTTGACAGAACTTTTTTTGTGTATGCCAAACAACATCTGAACTCACAAATTGTGCTTTGAGTCATTCCTCCAAACCAGGATGACAAATTATGGTTTGAGGAAACATTTTAGATTAACTGTAGTTTAGTGTGTTGGCATAACTGTAAATTGTGGCTAATCTTAATAAACTAGTGAAAACAAACCAGCTTCATAAACTTTGGCTTGAAGTTGGCATATTTCCACTAAACACAGCTTTGGCCCTAATTAGTCCACAATATGACAAGAGATTCTTGACCTGGGTACCAAAGGCTATGACAGTATCTTAAAATACCATGCACACTCTTTGGATAATTCTATTTTCCTGCTTTCTTTATCATTATTTGAACCTTAAAATAGTTAAGGTTCAAATAATGAATAGTTTCTATTCTGGTAATGATTGCCACTTAAAAGTCAAATGGAAGAAATGATTTTCCTTTTGAATGGAAGTACTTTGTCGTAGCTGCAAGCTGATCCAGGGCAGTCAGGTTGAATGTGTTTAGTTCTGTTTTGCTGCAGTTTTAAAGAACACTGGAAGAAGAAGAAATATCTTTTGCCTTCCAGGTTACTGGCTGAACTGTGCAGGAAGCACATCTGTCTCCTTTTCTGCCCACGACGTGAGCTAGAAATCACTGCAGTGCTTCGCCGGATAAGCACCCAGTGCTATCACATATCCTGCCAAATAATTTCTACTTGTGAAGCTAGATATAAGCAGTGGATAGACAAGTCACTACGATCTCGCCAACGACACAACTATCTGCGCATGAGAAGAAGGTGGGGGATTGTTTTATTTTTAAAGGAATGAGAATTAATACTATCTAAAAATCAATTGTTTTTAAAAACAATTCACTAAACAAATTCCACTTATTACTCAAAACTATCTAGGCATAGTGGGTTGAACCAGACTAGGTTGCAGTGCAGTCCTATGGTCCCCAGGAGAATGTCCTAGAGCAGTGATGGTGAACCTTTTGGAGACCAAGTGCCCAAACTGCAACCCAAACCCCACTTATTTATTGCAAAGTGTCAACACTAAACATGAAAACTGAGGTTCTAGTTTAGAAAAAAACAACTCACTGCCAGTCCAAGCAAATCTCAATCAATCTCTCCCTCCCTCCCTCCCTCCCTCCCTCCCTCCCTCTCTCTCTCTCTCTCTCTCTCTCTCTCTCTCTCTCTCCTTGGAAGCGCACTGACCGGCCATGCAAAAGCTCGGACGTGTCTCAGTTAATGAGTCACAGCTCGTGACTTCATTGACTGGTGCCTCTACTTTCTGAGCATTCGCTTGGCAACTAAGTGCACCGTTATCTGACGCTTGGCTGTTGGGGCGATGCTGGGGTGACTTGGCTTGCATGCCAACACAGAGGGCCCTCCGTGCCCGCTGTGGCACATGTGCCATAGGTTCACCACCATTGGCCTGACCCAAGCCTGGTGCATGCCTCTAACCCTAATATAGGGGTAAAATACCATTGAAAGAGGCAATTTTGAAGAAGCCGAACTTTAGTAGCTTTTCCTGCACAGCTCAACATTTCTGCCCATTCTAAACACATTCCAACCATCAAAATCCTGCCAGGACACCTCGTTTTTCTAACTCTAATCCTACCTTGGTGCACACCCCTAACCCGAGTATAGGGGTAAAGTTCCTTTCAAAAGAGGACGATTTTTGAGAAGGCTTCCTTGAGTAGCTTTTTCTGTGCAGCTCAACATTTTTGCCCATTCTAAACACATTCCAACCATCAAAATGCTGCCAGGACACCTCGTTTTTCTAACCCTATCCCTATGCTTGTGCACATCCCTAACACTGATACAGGGGTGAAGTTCCATTGAAAAGAGGGCAATTTTGAAAAAGCATTCTCTGAGTAGCTTTTTCTGCGTGGCTCAACATTTCTGCCCATTCTCACATTCAAACCATCAAAATCCTGCCAGGACATCTCGTTTTTCTAACCATAACCATACCCTGGTGCACACCCCTAACCCTAATATAGGGGTAAAGTTCCATTGAAAAGAGGGCGATTTTGAAAAAGCCTTCCTTCAGTAGGTTTTTCTGCACCACTCAACATTTCTGCCCTGTTTAAACACATTCCAACCATAAAAATGCTGCCAGGACACCTCATTTTTCCAATCCTAACCCTACCCTGGTGCACACCCATAATATATGGGGAAAGTTCCTTTCAAAAGAGTGCAATTTTTGAGAAGGTTTCCTTGAGTAGCTTTTTCTGCACCACTCAACATTTCTGCCCTGTCTAAACACATTCCAACCGTCAAAATCCTGCCAGGACACCTCATTTTTCTAACCCTAACCTTACCCTGGTGCACCTCCCCCAACCCTAATATAGGGGTAAAGTCTATTGAAAAGAGGGCAATTTTCAAAAAGCCTTCCTTGAGTAGCTTTTTCTGCGAAGCTCAACATTTCTTCACATTCTAAACACATTCCAACCATCAAAACCTTGCCAGGACACCTCGTTTTTCTAACCCCAATCCAGTGATGGTGAACCTTTTAGAGACTGTGTGCCCAAAATGCACCCCTAAACTCACTCATTTATCGCAAGTTGGCAACACTACAATAAAACCTGAAAACTGAGGTTTTAGTTTAGAAAAAACAACTCACAGCCAGTCCAGGCAAATATATATAGATATCCTTGGCTGTGCACTGTCCGACCATGCGAAGGCTCAGACGAGTCGCAGCTTGTGACATCATCGCCTGGCACCATTACTCCTTTCTTTGCATGCGCACGGCCCCTATGCATGCTGTTATCCGATGTTCAGCTGCTTGGGTGATGCTGGGGCTACGTGACTCGCATCCTGACAGAGAGGGCTCTGAGTGCAGTCTATGGCACGCGTGCCATAGGTTTGTCACCACTGTCTTAGAGGTGTAGGTTTTTTCAGACCCCCTGCATGCTGTAGACATTGCTAAGATTTTGGGAAGTGGGCTTCTCAATCCTATCACTCCCTTTGCCACTTCACAGACATTGCAGAAGGAATCACAGGGCCTTCTTTCCATGGTCACAAAAGCAACCTCAGATAACTTCACGGAGGTCAAAAAAGGAAAACTCCAATGGGTCAGGTGGGGAGGGGAGGGACTGGGATCTTCTGCATCCTTGTATCTTTCTCCAGCCCTGGTCCCACCCCCCATCACATGACTCCTCTGGGCATACTGAAAGGACCAGCTAGAGGAAAAAGTAAACAAAGGAAAATGAAAAGATGAAAATTACCTCTATTGCTCTTTCTGTCCTACAAGCAGTAGCCCTGTAGAGTATAGGAATCTTGGAAGCTTCCAAGAACGGAGGCTTCCCTCTATTGGATGGCAACCCAATAGGGTGGCACCCTAGCGTTGCATTGAATTCTCATAAAAAATCTTGTGAAATTGAGAGCCAGGGAATTTATAAGCATGATGCAGTTATTAGAATGTCAGACCAAGGGTCCAATTCCTACTCTACCAGGATGTTGGCTGACATCATGGCCTCTCATCAACCTTTAAGTTAGCCTGTCTCTCAGGGTTGTTGTACATGGTTCTTCCCCACATTTTAACCTCACATCACCTTCAGTTCCTGGGAGGAAAGGCAGAATATACAAGTCATCACTTAAGTCTTGACTTGTGTGTCCCATTGGTTTAAATGGGATAGAAGTGTCTCTTGCTTAGTTTAGCTTCGTATGAAACATTTATAGCACATAATATGCTAGTGTGTGAAGCTTGTGCTCTTCAATCACAGCTCTATGTTTCTGAGTGCTGCTGGAAGCATTTCTTACCCTGAAACTAAGCTCAAAGAGGAGATGAAGCCCTCATGGACCAGTGTCCCATCATAGGTGTGGAAGAATGCCAAACTCCTTTCTGAGGATGCATCCCTCATAGTTTGACCATAAGCTACAAAATACGTTCACTTTTCAGACTTCTAGCAATCAGAGTATTTGGAGCTATATGTATATCAAATTTAGCTTTCTAGCTAGTGCAGGAACATAACAATGCTTGGTGCACATTAGACCCCCTGTCTTTTGGGAGATATGTACAAATATCCTTACTGCCAGATTATTCTAATGCTCTTGGGGTGATGGACTAGACCTGTAATAAATTGGGAATTTTTTTCTGCCAGCAAGTAAAGACCTCAGATGAGATAGCATGCCCTGGTGTTCTTTCATAAGTTAGGATATTCTGTTGACATTTTAAAGCAAATAGGTTGATAAATACCCTGAAGATCAGAGTGTAATGAAACTGGCTAAAGGGATATGAGCCAGCATGGATATGGAAGAGAAAGAGATTTTCAGATGGAAACCGTGGATGTCTCTCCTGACAAATTTCTTGAGCAACATATTGTAGAGCAAAGTAACTTCAACTTCATCCTTTTAATGTTTTACTTAATTTAGATGTATGGGTTGATTGTTGATTCCAACATTCTTTTTTTTTTTGTTCATTTTTTTCTTCTAGTATTCGATTTTTATCTCCAGTCTTACAACTAATTTTAATCTTGATTATATTGGAACTAATCAATATCCATACCATCAATGAAAAGAATGCCCCTGAGTATCAACAGTATCTCAAGTGAGTACTTCTAGCTGGAAGAGATTCATGAAGCTGCTGCTTAAATCCACTGATTATCCCCAGTGATTTATAATTCTTTGCATACCTTTATTGGCCATAATAAGATGAATGCGCTGAAGTCATTCTTTGATACACCTCCAGTATGACATCTCTATCTATGTACTGTCTTATCTAAAATTATTTCTAGGACACATGTAAGGGTGCAGTTCTCTGAAACTGCACACAAAATAGATACAGATTTGTATCCATAAAAGGATTTTTTTTTTATTTTGGATATAGATTTTGTATCCATAAAAGGGAGGATGCCTATTAAAATAATAAAAACAAAACTCACCAATTAAAACTAAAATGCCCAGGCAAGGGAAGGCCAGTGAAACCAGGTAAGTCATCATAGTGTTACTGATGACCTGCACAAAGGAGGCCTGATGAAGCTCTGATAGCTATGATTCCAGAGGTGCAGGACCTTCTGCCTTCTGCTTGCCAGTTGGTGGGCGGGTGACAAAGGCCTCTCCTGATGACCCCAGAGTTCATGCAGACTGATAAAGGAGAGGGCACCCCTTCAAAGAGCTTGAGCCCAATCTCTTCAAGCTTAAAACCTGCAGTCAAAATGGACTTGGAAACACCCTAGCAGCTGGTGCATCCAGCTCTGGTATTGCTGTACACTAGTTGTAGTTTGAGTTTGTGAAAGGACTCTGGACCTGAAGGTGAGTAACGTGTAGCCATTGGGAAACGTGCACCCTTGGACTAATTCCATGTAGTTTTGGTCTAATGGCAACAACCTCTGCATGTGGCCAGTTTATCTCTCTGCTAAGAGTGAACTGTCCACTCTTAGAGATGGAAATGGAGAAGGAGATGGCAGGAAGAGCAAAGTGGTAACACTCCTGCTTTTGGCTCTGGGTTCACCCACTATTGACATAGAAACATTGAAACAGAGCGAGTCAGAAGGGGTCTCCCGGGCCATCTAGTCTGACCTCCGGCACCAGCCGGCTCCGCTCACGACATGCCCACCATGTCAACGTCCAGCCTATCCTTGAACACCCGCACCGATGGGGCCTCAACGACCTCTTGTGGAAGCCCATTCCACACCCTCGGGGTCCTGACTGTCAGGAAGTGCTTCCTGCATCCAAATTGAACCTTGGTTCCCTGAGTTTGGCCCAAGGACATGAAGCCCTTAACAGAAAAAAGGTTGGCTGGGATCCTGCTGCACAAGGAAAGCTTTAAAAAAAGTCCTCCTGATAGAAATCACACTCCCTCCAAGTTGCTCTTCGGGAGGAATAACACTTTGGGGACTACAGCAGGGAGGCTGGAGTTGCTCCCCTCCCTGGACTGAACAGTTCTGATGGCCTTCCCCTGTAGCTCCTGCTCTTAAAAGAGTCGAGCCAAGCAAGCAACTTGTAAATTTAGTGTGTGGTACCATTTTAACTGTAACTTTTCTGTTTTTTAAAATATGTTGTATATTGGATAATAGTTTTATATTCCTTCTCAGTTTATTAACTTACTAATTTATTATTTAATCATCTGCTTTATGTATTTATTTTATTTTTATTGTTATTAATGTTAGTGATACTACTGTTTTATTGTATTGTTGTATTTTATTCTGTTGATTGTATGTAAACGACCCAGAGAGCCTATGGCTAATCAGGTGGCATATAAGTCAGATAATAAATAAACACAGCACAGTCATGCACTGAATGCCTCTTGTGGATTTAGTCCTCATCTAAGGCTTCAGGCCTCACTACACCAGTGAGTAAGCTCCAGGGGCATATTTCCGAGTCAAGAAAGGATTGCATTGTATGTGCTCTCTTCCACCTGTTCCATTAAGTGATTCAATAGTTGCCCTTCTGAGATTTGATAACTCATAGAATATAGAGGTTTACAAGCATTTTCCACTGGTTTTAGAAATAGTTTGCAGTCATGTTCTCATACTTGTTTTCCCTTTCCTGCTCCTCCACAGGTTTCTAAAGGTGATATTGCAGTACACCGAAAACTTGGTGACCTACACAAGCCTGGAAAAGAATAAATGGGATGAAACAATGGAGCTTACACAGAAAGCCTTGCTAAAAATCAGAACTTTCTTAGGGAAGCATTTAGCACTTGTGCAGCTAGCTGAGCAAAGGACATAATCCTTATCAGACCTTAATGGGTTTCTTCAGTAGACCTTTTTGTTTGTCTGCTTTTTGTGAGATCAAAATTTGAGATTTTCTGGGTGTGAGAATCAACAACACCTACTCGGTATTCATGTATTTTCTCCATTACGATGAATAATCAGATTTTCTGAGCAAAAAAAATAGAACAGTCAGCAGTAAGAATCATCCCAAATGCTGAAATGGACCATTCTAATGTATTCTTTTTAGAGGAACTTGAGCTAAAAAATAAGCAAGTCCCCTATTAAAATATGTTGATTCTGTACTGTTTTTTAAATCTTTGATTGAGATGAGTATGGCTGATTTAGGAGAAGTGAGGTGCCAACACTGGTTGAAGACAGCATCCAAGGTTCCTAATACCCCCCACGAGAGTGCACTTGTTTGCAATGGGTCCATTAACATGAGTGGTTTTTGCCCCAATCCTAAATACACTTATGTAGCTGCCAGTCCAACTGATGCTAGCTAAATCTTTCCCTAGCAGAGGTAGAATTGTGTTTGAGCTATCCATTGACATCAGTATTTAGGAAACTTCTCTTTATTGTACCTGCTTAGTTCACCTGTAACGCAGATAAAATTCCATATGCATACCCTAATTTGATTTAGATACCAGATATTCTTTAATCTTCTAATCTGTCAAAATCACTCTTCTGCTATTATAAATTTGAATCATATTTAATCCCTAAGGAGAGGGGCACATTAGCCCTGCCCCCTCATGTGTTTTTGTCACCCCCTGCTCCCTTTAATCCGTCCACATGACCTTGGACAAGATAGTAAGAGGATTTCTCTTCCCAAGCTTCCTGTAGCCTCCAGACCAGGCAGTGGCTTCAGGAGGGGAGTCAGCAGAGCTTGTGGAGGTTCCCAACCCATTTTAGCACTCCGATGTTTTGTAGCCTTTACAGTTAAGTGCTGCTTTTATGAACTCTATATTGTTGTTGCGTATTTGTTTAGCTTGTTTTAAATATTGCTGACTCGTTCTTTGCTGCCTCAAGTTCCATTTCAGGGAAACAGATGGGGTATAAGCATTTATACTAATGCTTTTTAACAATTCCATGCCAATGAGCTCACTAACCTTCCGCTGCTGGACTGCACGAGGGAGAAATGGGGTTGTAGTCACTTGTAACTGCCGGTCTTGAAGTGGCTCTGTGAATCCTCATGCAGCTCTCTCCTGCCACTCACTGGAGAGGTGTGATGGGAACTTCCGCAGCAGTGAGTGCAAGCCTTGAGATCAGGGATGCCCACCTCCATTTAGTATGAAGGGAAGGAGCCATAGGTAAAGCTCTAAGTCAAGGGGAGGGAGAGCCCTAGACACTTCTGCAGCCGGTCTGCTTGACTGCCACTCCCATTGTCCCTGCGCATTAGTTGGAAGACCTGCAGAAGATCAGCAGAATGTAGCATGTCTAGCTGTTCGAAATCTAAAAGAAGCTGTCCGGGATGCAATGCAAAGAGTACTGCCTGCTCTTTCTCCTTAAGACAAAACTGTCCCCAGGATCACATCATCTCTGTTGAGTCTCTTCCAGCCATCAGTCAGAAGATGGTTCAGAAGCTTCAGCCAGTGAAGAATACAGATGTCTGGTTTCTTGCAGAGACTAGGAGTATATACGCCAATGTTGTTACCAGGCCCATTTGAAAGTGTTGATGATCACCTAAACGGCTTACAGCCGGGTTACCGGAAGCACTACCTGTAGGAACCCACCTGCACCTTAAGATTGGCCATGGAGACCTGGCTCACATGTCCACTGGCAAGTTCATGGAACCATCAGTGCAGAATTGGAAACAGGCAACTGGATTAAATAATTTCTTCATCTGATCCAGCAGCATTCTAATGTGTTCATACTTACAGTGTTACTCCAAGTTTGCATGCAGCAATTATCCATGTATTTATAGTATGTTTTATTTGTATGCTTTGGGGCATAATGTACAATCTGAAGATTAGTATTTTCTGCTACCTAAAGAAGGACTTTGAATTTTGAGGGCTCCTTTCTTTCCAACCTCCTAGTGATGAATTTGGCTTCATTAGATTTTTTTGCCACCCAAAATTAATCTCAGGCTCTGTTAATGTAAGGAATGTCATGTTTCTTACTCCCTACCCAGAAACCTGTATCTTTCACCTAAGGCAAGGGACAGAGTGGGCCTTTACAGCTTCAGAGATGTTTGCAACACCTATCAATGGCTAATCCATACAGCCTGCAGTCTCTGTCTTGAAACTAAAATATAGACTTTGTGCCACCAACATCTGGCTTGACTTTGGACATTTTTGTTGTTTCCCTTCTCCTGTTTTGTGTTAAAGCACATGATAAAGAGTTCTGGAGAATCTAAAAGCTTGCACACTCTTTTGTAATATTTCGGTTGGTTATGAAATACTGTCCAATGGTGGATTTTTATTCTCATCCCTTCTATGGCTTGTTTAGTATAATAAAAACCACCCAATGACTTTTGTACTTCAATAATTCAATATTAATTAAGAGATCAATTCATAGTCGATCAAAAGAGTTTCTCTTTTCCAGACAACCAGCCCCACAAACTGCTTTAAAAAATATTCTTCGAATTATGTCAAGCTGCAATACGGAAGCTAAACACAAGGTGGCAATGTTGAATAGCAAATATTTCAGTTTCTTGTGGCTGGGCTTCTGCTCTGTCCTGATACAGCCTTTCTTGCTTTCCATTTTAATTGTTTGTTTTAAAATTAAACTGTTTTAAATTAAAATGTAATGCTACTATGTTGAGTTTCTCTTATTTCTTTTTCTGGAAGAAATTCGGCAGTAGTTGGATGCTTAACATTTATGTTTCTTTCACAATCATAGTTGAGTTATCACAGGTGGACATTGATGTATCCCTACAACATTTATGCAGTATGTATTTTTATGTAAGCCACACAGAGATCCTAGAATACTGGGCAGTATAGAATCCATTTAAATAAACAAAGGATACTTTTGCTTGGGATTTGTAAACCTAAATTCAGTTGTCTGCTTAGATTACGCCTCCTTTAAAAACTGATCCAACTTTTGTCAGATTTTATGAAAATTTTCTTCTCCTACCCCTGCCATTAAAATCAGTGGGATAAGTTAGTCATGGCAAAGTAATCCCATTGATTTGATCTTGTCCAAGTCAAGGACCAAGTCAAAGGTTTATGGTTCCTCTTACACCACCTCCTTGACAGTAATATGTATTGTGTTAACTGTAATTTCTGGACAGTCTTCCAGGGCAGCTCTTCCAAGACATTCTTCAGAGTTACTGAGCCCACTCCAAAGGAATGCCTAGTCTCACCTTGCCAGTACCTCACTCTACAATTGTCCAGCACTATGGGACCCTCCGAGCAGACTGAAGTGGTGCTTTAAATCCCCTAAGTCAGTCCCACTCTCTGTCCCGACAACATTGGAGGAGTGCTTGGCAGTGGGAGAAGAGAGGGCCTTCTTAGTGGCAGCCCCAAGACTATGGAACTCTTCCAAATGACTTAAGACCCTAACATCTTAAAACCACCTATTCCTTTTCCCATTCTTTAGAATAGCCTTCCCTGTTAGTGTCCTCCAGATGTTTTGGGCTACAAATCCCAGAATTTTGTTAACTACAAATAACCCACAGTCCAAAACCCAACAACAAATCATTGATTATTTGCAGTTAACCATGGTTTGTTAGCACAGCTATGTTCAGACCATATAATGCATCTTTCAGCAATAGATCACGACTTAGTGACAGCCCATGCTCAGGGAAGAGCCACTGCTTTGTTTTCCTCTGATGGCTTCAGCAGTAGCTGTTGGCAGCAGGACAAGGGGACTGAACTCTCTCAGCGTTTCTGGAGCCACAGAATAATACTGAAGTCTCAACACAGGTGAATGACAGAGAAGCCCAGTTCATGCAACACACTGGGCGGATCAGGCGTTGTTTAATCCCTGATGAGTTACAGCATATATTGGGTGCCATTTTGAATATACATGCGGTGCCTTGTTGAGCTTAAACATCCCAAGGTGAGCCCAGAATGCCATGTAAACTGGGTCTGGGGCAGAGAGAGAGGGAGTAAAGCAATGTAAATGTTTTTATAGGTAAACCTTTTGTGTAGCTACTCAGAAATGCACGCCACTATGTTCAATAGGCCTTGCTGCCAGGTAAGTACATACCAAACTGTGGTCCCATTCAGGAGAAGCACAATCCATTCAGAGACCCTCCTGTGCCATCTGAATGGGAGGTTCCCATGAGCCCAGTTTTGAAGGTGAATAATAAGCTAGGGCTGGTTTGGAGGAGGAGATCCAGGACAAATCCGTATGGGTTTTTTATTGTGTCTGCATGAAGCACATTCTGATGCTGCATATATAGCTGTTCCAACGGTCTACTCTTAAGGAGCTTGTCTTGGCCATGCCTTTGCAAGGCCACCTGTAAGAGCAGGTGACATTCAAGGTGGTAACACATTGCAAAGCCAGCCCAGACACTTTGCTGCCTGAGGCGAAGGGCATGGCGGCTCCCTGGCAGTGGAAGACTTGCGCAGAAGTCACAGGGGAGGCCGCGGAGCACAGGTAGCCCTGTGGCTTCCCTGCTTCTGCCTGAGGCAGCTGCCTCATTTTGCCTCATGGGAGGGCTGGCCCTGAGAAGGGAATGGAGCATTTCAGCAGTGGTATTCCATTCCTGGGAGGCTGAAGGGCACAAGGCACATTAGCTTTTGGTGGGACTTGAACTCCTCAGGGCTGTGAGCCGCAAAGTGGTTTATTATAAAATATATATTGCCCACATTTCATTATAAAATAATCCCAAAGCCAGATTCAACCAAAAGAACACCCTAAAAACATCCCTTCCCACACCCAGGATCAACTTCATCAGTTGAATCAGGCTTCCCCACTCCAGTGCCCAGTGCCCTTCGAATGTTTTGAACTACAGCTCTCTGCATGCCTGACCATTGGGTGTGCAGCCTCAGCATGATGGGAACTGTAGTCCAACACATCTGGTGAATGTAAGATTGAGAAAAACTGAACCAAACTCAACATTTCAAGATTAGCACTGGTGTATCTGTGCCATCTGCTTCCTCTCTTTTATGCTCTCTCTGTACCCACTCACCCCTTGCTTTGGAGGAATATTAAAACATGCCACCCTCACATTTTAAATGTATTTGTGCACTTGAGAGGGTTGCAAGCAATTGAGGGGAAACAATACATGTCCTTGGAATTGCCCATCCACGGTACCAAATTCAGGTGTATTGTTTAAGCTGCTTTAATATGGCACCAGCGTGTCACAAATGGGTGAGCAAATCTTGCCGAGTTGACAATTTATTTGCCTAAGA